GAATCCAGCCTGAACTTCTGAAAGTTCCCTGTCGATATACTGCTGCAGCTGCTTTTGAATGATCTTCAGCAAAATTTTACTTGGGTGTGATATTGATGATATTGTTTGATAATTTCTGCATTTAGATGCATTACCTTTCTTTGGAATAGGCATATATATGGATCTCTTCCAGTCAGTTGGCCAGGTAGCTGTCTTCTGAATTTCTTGGCCTAGACGAGTGAGCACTTCTAGCGCTGCGTCTGTTTGTTAAAACATCTCAATTGGTATTCCGTCAATTCCTGGAGCCTTGTTTTTCGCCAGTGCCTTCAGCGCAACTTCAGCGTCTTCCTTCAGTACCGTCGGTTCCTGATCGGATGCTACCTCCTGAAATGGTTGAATGTCGACTGATTCTTTTTGGTACAGTGACTCTGTGTATCCCTTCCATCTTCTTTTGATGCTCCCTGTGTCATTTAATATTTTCCCTGGAGAATCCTTCAGTACTGCAACTTGAGGCTTAAATTTTTTTTTTTCAGTTCTTTCAGCTTGAGAAATGCCGAGCATGCTCTTCTCTTTTGGTTTTCTAGCTCCAAGTTTTTGCACATGTCATTATAATACTTTGTCTTCTTGAGCCACCCTTTGAAATCTTCTGTTCAGCTATTTTACTTCATCATTTCTTCTATTTACTACTCAACATTCAAGAGCACGTTTCAGAGTCTCTTCTGACATCTATTTTGGTCTTTTTTTTTTTTCTTTCCTGTCTTTTTAATGACCTCTTGCCTTCTTCATGTATGATGTCCTTGATGTCATTCCACAACTCATCGGGTCTTCGGTCATTAGTGTTCAGCACGTCAGATCTATTCTTGAGATGGTCTTAAATTCAGGTGGAATATACTCAAGGTTGCACTTTGGCTCTTGTGGACTTGTTCTAATTTTCTTCAGTTTCAATTTGAACTTGCATATGAGCAATTGATGGTCTGTTCCACAGTCGGCCCGTGGCCTTGTTCTGACTGATGCTATTGATCTGTCCTGCAGTACAGCGCTGTCAGTGACAGGATATGCCTGTGAGGAAGACCAGTTAATACAACTGCTCTTCAAATTTACACACCAACCACTAAGGCCAGAGATGAAGAAACTGAAGATTTTACCAACTTCTGCAGTCTGAATTGATCAAACATGCAGTTAAGGTGCATTGATAATTACTGATGATTGGAATGCAAAAGTTGGAAACAAAGAAGAAGGATCGGTAGTTGGAAAATACGGCCTTGGTGACAGAAACGATGCCAGAGAGCACATGATAGAATTTTGCAAGACCAACGACTTCTTCATTGCAAATACCTTTTTCAACAACATAAACGGCGACTATACACTTGGACCTTGCCCGATGGAATGCACAGCAATCAGATCAGCTACATCTGTGGAGAGACAATGGAAAAGCTCAGTATCATCAACATATGAATGGATAAGCAAAATGTGGTGTAGACATACCGTGGGATATTACTCAGCCATAGAGAGAGATGAAGCCCTGACACGTGCCATACAGGAATGAACCTTGAAGACATTATGCTGAGTGAAATAAGTCAGACCCAAAAGGTCAAATACTGTATAATTTCACTTACATGAAGTATCTAGAACTGGCAAATGTATAGACGCCCCAGTTTTATTAGTGGTTACCAGGGGGGTCCCTGGGTGGTGCAGACGGGCAAGCACTTGACTACTAGCTGAAAGGTTGGCGGTTTGAACTCACCCAGAGGCGCCTCAGAAGACAGGCCTGGTGACCTGCTTCCAAAAGGTCACGGCCTTGAGAACCCTGTGGAGCAGTTCTACCCTGCACACATGGGGTCACCAGGAGTCGGAATCCAATCGACTCAACTCAGCAACTAACAACAACTCAGACCGGGGCCGGGGTGGGGGGAAGGAGGAGTCATTCTTTAAGGGGCAGTGAGTTTATGGTGATGGAAAATTCAGCAGCAATTACAGGTGAGGGCTACACAACGTGATTAATGAAATTGATATCACTAAATCGTTCACGTGAAAAATGGTAAATTGGCAGGTGTTGTGTGATGTATATTTTTACAACAATGAAGAAAAGAAAAGTGCCCTGGAAGATTCAGAGAGAGTGAGAGAGAGAGAAAAGAGAGAGAGTATGTTCCCTGGGCCACATGCCTGGAGGGCTGTGGTCCTGTTTCTGGTTGACCGCATGTAATACTGAGTGGAGGGGCCTCGGGAGTGCCCTCGCCCTGCAGACATGGGAATGGTCCAGGACCAGCACGGGGCCTGGTGTCTGGTCGTGTCGCCGAGTCCCAATTATTTCTTAACCCCAGTCTCAAAAATAACCGCAGCTCTGCCATGTCTGGGAGTGTATCCTATGGGTATAATTGTCCACATACAAGGACAGGAGTCCAAGGATAGGTATTGTGGCATTTTTGTGACCGCAAAATCCCAGAAGCAGCTCCAATGTCCGCCAGCAGGAGGCGTGCTCAGTAATCTAGAATCTATAAAGGAGTTCTAGGCCACTATAAGGAGCCCTGGTGCTGACCATCTGTGCCCCCCTCTGTAAAATTTACATTTGAATTTGGATAAAAATTTCTATTTGAAAATTAGTAAAACAAAAACTGATTTGGAACGTGTAATTCTGTTCTTCAGGTCTGAGATAGTCAAAAGAAATAGTACTTACAAGGCAGCCGGAAATAATTTCATTCGTTTGTCGCCACCACCGCTGCCACCCAGGCACCCCTGGAGCCCGCCGAGCAGCCCGCCTGCCACCCGCCCGGGATGCAGGCGGCAGGAGATCGCACGCAGGCTGTGGCCTTGCGCTTTGTCCTTTCTGTCGCTGCTATCCACGTCTGTTCGTCTTGAAATGTGAGGGAAGCGCAATTTAGAGATTTCCCCTGGGCGCTCGAATTGGGGGCGCAATTTAGAGATTGCCCCTGGGCACCCGTTACCCTCGCTACGCTTCTGCTCCAGTGTTTTTCATCTGGAAATAATACTTTTAAAACGTGCGCACTCGCTTTCCGCCCTTTGATGCTGCATCTGCGTAGTTCATTGGACTATGGCTGATACCGACGGAGGTGAGAACCATCACAAAGGGCATGATACAAACACAAGGGTATGTTCAATCTGAAGACACGTTGTGGTTCGCTTTACACAGGACAGGGCCAGGTGTGTCACAAGTCACGATTATAGTGCCGCTGGCATATTCTTATGTGGTCCACAAGGGAGAACTGAATGTGAGGTTATACCCAATCAGTGTGAAATGAAAAGAAGAATGTATTTGTTGTCATATAGAAAATTTATAGAATGTACATTTTCTTTGTGGAGTTGTTCTTTGTGGGATTATTTGGAGATATGCACATAATTGATGTAACGATAGCACCACTTCTCAGTGAGTAAGTTTGTTTTGCAAGTCATAACAATACCAGTTGCTTAAAATCTGAAAGGAAATGAAAAATAAAATACGTTTATATAAGTTTTGTTATCTTTAGATAATAAATTTCCTTACATGGTGATATGTAAATATTCTGATAAAATATAAATGTAATGTTCTGATAAATACCCTTTGTTGCTTTCTTGGAAGACGAATTTAGTATCATACTCTTTGTTGTGAAACAAAAACATATTTTACATGAAAAATATTGAATTTTGCATTCTCTTAATCTGCCTAATACCTCATTTATTAGCATGGATAGAGTGACATCAAGCACTGTGTCCTGTGCAACAGAAAATAAAAAACTAAACTCACTTGATACATAAATTAGAACTTTTCGCATTAGATAAATATTATTATTTCCAGTATTTTTTGGATATTTGCTAGGTTAGTATTACATTAAATTATTACCCGTGTTAGTATTATGTTAAATGTATGCTAGATTGCATTCTTGCTTATTGCAAACATATTTTAAAATCGAAGTTAGAAACATTATTGTTTACAAAGCTTAGGGCATAACTCTGTACATGAATGCTTATACAGTTAAAAAGGAACATGATTGAATTCATTGCAGTGGTCCCTCACTTTTGCGCATCATCTGGGACTGGAGTTCCCGTTGGTTGTTTACCAGGACATGTACAAGAGCACACCCTTGTGTTTGTATCACGGCAGAGAGCATTCATTGCCGGCCCTCCTGTCTGGAGTTGCCGGCTCAGCAGCCGTGGATGTACAAGACGGTTCTCTCAAAGTGGATCAGAGTCCTGTTAACTATCAGTATAACCCGTCCTTGCCCAGTAACCGCTCATGTTGGATCCAGCTGCACCTTGGGTGAATGTAGTGAGAGTTAGACTCGACAGCCCACCCCCACCTCTTGCTCATCAGAAAGAAACAGTACCCTCCCAAGAGACCCGCCGAGGTAAGGAGTTTCAGTTACTCAGGAGGGGACTGTAGGAGACAGACGTCCACGAAGGTGTTGAAGTGGTAGGGCCTCATAGCTTGAACAACCTTCACGGGGGCGCCCTCCTGACGCTGCGTGAACTTTGTTTCCAGCCGGCACGTTCTCACGCACTGGAGCTGGTGTCAGTTTCATTTAGGGCCCTGCAGTTCCCTTCCACTGTGGTGCTCGCTTTTCCTTGTGTCCTGTCTGCTCGGCATCCACGGGTCTTTGCTTTGGACAACCGGTGCCCCTGTTTTGATGATGCCCTAAGCATGTGCTTACCTTGCTTGCTGGGTAATATGTCCCTGCTGGTGGTGCAGTGGTTAACGCTTGGCTGTTAACCAAAAGGTCAGCGGTTTGAACCTACCAGCCGCTCCAAGGGAGAAAGCTGTGGTGGCAGTTTGCGTCTGTAAAGATCACAGCCTTGGAAACCCTGTGGGACAGTTCTACTCTGTCCTGTAGGGTCACTGTGAGTCAGAGTCAACGCAACGGCAGTGGGTTTTTTTAAATAGTCTCCGAGTGGTGCAAATGGCTGCTAACCCAAAAGTTGGAGGTTTGAGTCTACCCAGAGGTGCCTCAGAAGAAAGGCCTGGTGATCTGCTTCCAAAAAATCAGCCATTGAAAACCCTATGGAGCACCGTTCTGCTCTGACACACTTAGGGTTGCCAGGAGTTGACTTGACGGCAACTGGTGTTTTGGTTGATTTTCTTTGGAAACAGGAGAGCACAAATCTCAGGTTGGGTGTAAAACAAATCGTAATTTTAATGACTTTTCTTAAAGAAGTTACTGGGTTGGGGTTTCTCCTTGTCATATCAAAGAGCGTTTGGAATTGGCACAGTGGGTAATTTACAATGCAAAATCTGAAACCAGGATCCTGATCGTGAAAATAAAATTTCAGATGACGTTTCAGGAGAGAACACTGTAGGTTGAAAATCTCCGAAGTTAATTACTGGCCCAAAGTCAGACGTCAGAACACACCTGCTTGCCATCTAGTGGCGGGGCCACCGTGCTGGGTGTTCTTCTCTCTCGATAGGAGCGTGTTTCCTGATGATGCTTCTTGTCATCGAATACACTGGCCTTTTGAACTTCTGTGTAGGAAATTGAGAGGCTGAATGAGCGGCTGGAGGAAAAGGAGAGGGAGATGCAGGTGCTGACGGAGCCACTGTGCGGGAGGGAAGAGGACACCGTCCTGCAGGCGCAGGCCCGGGCCACAGGCGAAGTGCTGTGCCGCTCCCTGGCCGAGGAGGCCCACCAGCTTCGGAGGACGCTGGCCGCCACTGCCCACATGTGCCAGCAGCTGGCCCGGTGTCTGGAGGAGAGGCAGCGAGCAGGCGGGGACACGGAGACCCCCAAAGAGGTGAGTGGCTTTAGATAAATTTATTTTCTCACAGTTCAAGAGGCTGGAAGTCTGAATTCAGCGCCGGCTCTAGGGGAGGCCTTCTCTGTCCAGCTCCGGGGGAAGCCCTCATCTCTTTCACCCTTCTTCTGTTCCCTGGTGATCTTCCTGTGGCGTCTGTCTTCTCCCCTTGGTACTTGCTTCTGCTCTTTTCATACCTCAGAAGGGATTAGGTCTAGGACCCAGACTACACTGATATGGCCTTGTTAACAAAGAAGATCCCATTCCTAAACAGGATCATATCCACAGGTACAGGGGGTGGATTCCCACACATATTTGAGGGGCACAATTCAGTCCACAACAGCAGGGATGGGTGGTGCCCTGGGACCTGCTCCCTCTCACCTGTGGTTAGTCAGATCGCTGCGCAGACCCGGGGGAGGCTGCGGGGGCCGCCGCGGTCCTCATAACATGAGTCAGCTGGGGGGGCAGAATGAGGAACAGGCCCCACACAGGAGGAAGGGAGGGCCCGCTCCACTCTGTCACCGTCTCGCTGCCCGGCCAGCTCTGACCTGCTCCCACATCAGGGGCACCTGGGTCTCCTCAGCCTTGACTGATGAGGAGAAGGAACAGCTGAGGGGGTTAGAGGAGACTGAGGCAGGGTCAGTGAGGCCGCTGGGAGGGCAGTGCCTGCAAGTCTGTAACAAGCAGTGGCCAGGCACAAGCTGGAGAAGGCAGCCCACTGCCCCTCGGTGGCCCCAGAGTCTGAAAAGGCCTGGCCGACCGTGGCCTCCAGGCTCCTCTGGGCCTTGCTCCTTCGTCAGCGACATGGAGGGCAGAGAGGCTCGATGGGACTGACACGGGCCAGGCAGGGCCAGGCGATGTGAGGGCCTCAGAGTGTGCACAGCAGGCCTGCCGGCTGGGCCGGATAGGAGGGTTTATGCTGCGTGCTGTAGGGGGCCTAGTGGGGGGTCATCGAAGGAATGGCATAGGGTAGAGTGGTAGCGGGGGACACCCAGGAAACCAGGGGGCTCCTGGACAGGGGTGTGGGGAGCAGTAAGAGTGGGGGGTGGGGGTGGGGGTGGGGTGGGGCCTCTGTGAGCTGAGCCAGGTGTCTTCCATTTGTCTGTCTGTCCGCTAGTCCTTGCTCCAGCCTGCCAGTGGGTTCAGGGTTGTCTGTGTTGCGCAGACAAGGAGGAGGCAGAAGGAGTGTCAGGTGGGGGTTGCGTCCCACGCACTGCGCCCTGTAGGCCATGGGACAGCCTCCTGGGTCCCCGCAGAGATCAGCCCTCTAAAGAGATGTTGTGGGAGCAGCCACACGCCTCGTCAGGAAGTCTGCTCGCTGCCTGTCAGCAGGTTGCCCAGGCTCAGTGCGACGGCTTCTGTGAAGAGAGAACTTTGGGTGGGACAGCGTGCCTCAGGAACCAGAAAGAAGGCAGCCGTCTGGAGAGAGGGCCACCTGCTCGGTTCTCAGTCACCACACCCTTCCCTGTAGGATTTCGACACGGACCCCCTTGTGGGTGCACCTGCAGCAGGTGTGGGGCCGTGGGGACACGGGGGGCACGGAGCCCCCGCGGCGGTCTCCAGCTCACCTCTCTCCTCAGCCCTGGGTCAGCCGAGCCCCCGGGGGCAGCCGGTTAGGACCTGCTTCCTCTGTCCTTCAAGGGGAATTCTCAAAATTAACGTCACCAGCGGACAATCTTCCGGATTGCTGATGTTTGCTGGATTTCTAGGGTGCATACATTTCATGAAGCTGTTTTTGGTGAGGTCTGCGCACTGTTGCAGGGATCGGCTTAGGATGTGGTTTGCGGGACGAGTCCTCCGATTCCGCCCCTCGGCACAGGTTAGGTTGCCGTGCACAGAAATGACAACCGGTGACGCTCTCGTCTGCAGACGGGACGGTGTCATGGGCAGGTCCAAGGCAGGCTGGCCATGGGGTGGCTGTGTGACAGTGCTCATCTCAAAAACAGGAGATGTTATTATACCTGGGAGCACTAGTGCCTTTAAGCTTTACTGCCCTGCCAGTTGTCCTCAAGTTGACCGTACCCCATGGTGACCCCATAGGGTTTTCAATGGTTAATTTTTCAGAAATAGATAGCAGCTGAGCATGTTCAGCTTTGTCCTATCCAGGGACTCCTTTATGGCCTTGTTTTTGGGTGCCATCAAGTCAATTCCGACTCATAGCGACTCCACATGCCACAGAGAAGAACTGCCCCATAGGGTTTCCTAGGCTATAATGGTTAAGGGAACAGATTGCCAGGTCTTTCTCCCGCAGAGTGGCTGGTGAGTTTGAACGCCTGACCTTTCGGTTAGCAACCAAGTGTGTTAACCATTGCACCACCCAGGGACTCCTTTATGGCCTTAAAACCCGTTGATGTCGAGTCCGTTCCAACCCGTAGCGACCCTATAGGACAGAGTAGAACTGCCCCGTAGGGTTTCCAAGGAGCGGCTGGTAGATTCGAACTGCCGACGTTTTGGTTAGCAGCCAAGCTCTTAACCTCTGTGCCACCAGGGCTCCTTAGGATCTTTAAATTTAGAATGTTCAAAAGACAAACAGCTCACACGTGTGGGTATGGTGGGACAGAGACAGTGTCACCACCTTTGTGACCTGGAGACCCTCCACCAGGCCAGGCAGGGTGGGGGTCGCAGGGTGACACCTGAGGCCCCTCCTGGCTGGGCAGCAGGTTCGTCAGCTCCGATGAATGATGATCGCCTGCCCCGTGCCAGGTGCGCTGAAGACCTCAGACCCCAGCCTCCAGGCCGGGGCGATGACGTGTGCTCAGCACTGTTCTCTTGGTGCATGCGCGACGGAGCGTGGTGACCAGTATCTCCTCTGCCCCTTCGTCCCGCAGCCAGAGTGTGCCAGCAGGGACACCGCCGTCCAGGCTGAGGTCGAGAAGTTACGGGAAGAAAACCGGCAGCTGAAGGCCAAGGTCACTCACGTGAGTCTCCCGCATTTCACCCCAGATGAAGGTCCACCCTCAACAGCTGCGGTGAGCACCCGCTTTGCTCCAGGGGTGTCCTTCTGGGTGGTTCACACAGACCCAGGGGGCCGACCTTCCTGGCTGTGCGGACATGTGCCCTGCACCCCATTCCTGTGGTGTAACGAGGTGCAGGCCCTGCTGGGGGAGCGGAGTTGTCGGGGGAGTCGCAGGAGGTCGGTTTTAGTTTGTGAGCATTGCTGTGGGGGTCGGCACGGTGTCTGGAGTCGCCCGGTGGACTCGGGGCCCTCTGTGCAGAGTGAAGTGGGGCAGTGCCCACTGAGGGGGACCCGCCCGTCCCCTCCTTCCGTGGGCAGCCCCGGGTCGGTGCTGAGCTTGGCTGCTCCCCAGGTGGAGGACCTCAATGCTAAGTGGCAGCGGTACGACGCCAGCCGGGACGAGTACGTGCGGGGGCTGCAGGCCCAGCTTCAGGGGCTGCGGGCCCTGCGCCAGTCAGAGGGGCCCTCCCCGGCCTCGCTCCTGAGGAAGGAGATTTCACGGCTTAACCATCAGCTGGAAGAGATGCTCAGTGACTGCGCAGAGGCCCGGCGGGAGCTGGTGGCCGCTCAGGGGGCCCGAGATGCCGCGCTGGAGCGGGTGCAGATGCTGGAGCAGCAGGTCTGTGTGGGGGCCGGGGGGGCAGCGCTGTACGCCCCGGCTGTGGGGGTGGGCAGGAGGGGCTGGATGCGTCCCTCCTCCGGCAGACGCCATGGTGGCTGTGGTGGGACCCACCGTCTGGCATCCCTGCAGATCCTTGTGTACAAGGACGACTTCTCGTCGGAGCGGGCGGACCGGGAGCGGGCTCAGAGCAGGTTCCAGGAGCTCTGGGACACAGTGGCCTGCCTGCAGCGTCAGATGCCCAGGAGACAGGTGGGTCCTTGGTGTCAGCGTGCACGCTCCTTCCTGCTTTTCTCCCCACGTGTTTCTAGCTTTTCTGAGTCGGCCAGACCCTGGTTTCTGGTGGGTGAGGGTCTCAGGAGGACCCTGAGCTCTGGGCCTCATCTGCCGCCTGCACCTGCATGTCCCAGGTACTTACCTGAGGACAAGGTGGGCAGGGTGGGGTGCGGATGGAAGGGTGTCTGTGCTGCACCCGGTCCTGGCCACCCTGACGCTCAGTGAGGACGCTGAGGCCCCAGCCACTCACTAACGTCACGCCCATGGCCCGTGCGAGGAACCCACGGATCGGTGCTGTCCCTACTGTGTGGGCACCTCCCAGGGGGACTGGAGCAAGGGGCCAAGCAGACTACCGCCCTGGGGCGGGTGTGACCTTCCCTTCTCCCCATGGGGACGATCCCTGCCCGCCCTCCTGAGTCCTGCCCTGCGCTGGACCAGGAAGCCAGAGCAGGGACCCAACTAGCAGCCATCTTTCCTCGTGGGTGAATCGTGGGGATTGTGGCGAGCCTATGTTCCCCAAGCCTCCAGGCTCACCGGGAGGTGCCCATCCCACCCCAGGGGTAGCCCCACCCAGAGCCCTGCCCACCCCCTCCCACCACTCTCCCCTGGCCGGACTGCAGGCCTCCGATGGGCATCCTCTGCATGTCCCCGGCAGGATCGGGAGCCCAGCCAGGCCCGGCTGTGTCCTCGGTGTTCTCCCGGCCTCCAGGCGGGGACCCAGGACTGGACAGTGGGGTCTCTGGCCTCTGTGGCCGCCAGGGGGCCGCAGCCTTGGACAGAGGCTGTTTACCAGCAGGTCAGGAGCAGGGATCAGTGGACTCTGACGGCTCAGGCCAGGGCGGCGACCAGAGCCAGGGTGCTCCCAGCAAACTCCCTGGGCGCTACGGTCAGAGTCGCCCTGTGGCGGGGTTGCGGGTGCTGACAGGCATCTTCAGGCACTCAGGGAGCACCTGCTGTGTGCACGGACCACGGGTGGGGGGCTGACCACGCCAGGACAGCAGGACTGCGGGCGCAGGTGGTGGTCAGCACCAGGGCGGTGCCGAGGGCTCCCCACTGTGGGCAGGTGCCGAGGGCCCCCTCTATGGGGAGGTGCAGGGCAGAGTTGGCAGGAGTCTGCCTGGCCCCATCTGAGTGCTGTCCCCCACAGTGGGGTGGCCTTCCTCCGGTGGGGTGGGGGGTCCCACGTGGGCTGTCCTGCCCCCAGGAGCTCATGGCGCATGCATGTGACTTTAGCAGACGCATAGAGTCTGCATCACTCACTAGCAACCCCGTGCTCTGGGCTCTGGGACCCTGGGGATGCAGGTGCAGCGTGTCCATGGACGGAGCCCCCATGCCATCCTGCCCCCTGCCCAGCCGGTCAGCAGTCCTGACCTCTCTTCTAGGACCCCTGGGAGCCAGGCCGGACTCGCCCTGGGAGCAGCGCATCCAAGTACTTGGAGACAGACGCCCTGGAGCCAGCGGTGCCTGGGGGCCAGAGGCTGGGGTCCCCGCGGCTGGAGCCCCCTGCAGAGGGTGGGTGCCCTGGCACAGACCCCAGGGGCCAAGGGGACCTCCAGTGCCCCCACTGCCAGCAGCACTTCAGTGATGAGCAGGGCGAGGAGCTGCTCAGGCACATGGCTGAATGCTGCCAGTGAGCCCGCCTGTGCCCGCGCCCTGCATCCTCCAGGCCCACCACGTCTGTGCCCGCACTATGTTCTCCAGGCCCACCACGTCTGTGCCTGCCCCCCGCCATGTCCTCTGGATCCTCCAGGCGGGCCACGCCTGTGCCCGCCCGCCCTCTGTCCTCTGGATCCTCCAGGC